TGTTTGAAAAATCCTGGCTACACCCCTGTTACTATTATTATTATTATTATTATTATTATTATTATTATTGTTACCATTATTATTGTTATAATTGTTTAATGAAGTTAACCATTATGAACTTTTTTCGTCTCTTTCTTTAGTCCTTGCTATCGAATTGTTGGCAGCTTGTCAAGGAATTGAATTTTTGCGGCCCTTAAAGACAACAGAGCCTTTAGAAGCTGTTTACTCACTGGTTCGGAAAGTTGTAAAGTAAGTTTTATTCATTTTACTTTAGAGCATATCTCCATCAAGTATCCTTAGACAAAAACAAAAAGAAAATTATTACAAAGCCCATTAAGAACAAATGGAAATATACGAGAGTAAATGGAAAACGTGAATGATTAAGTAACGATCGGTACAAGTTGTAGGAAATCTCTTTCGCTTTGAAATTTAAATTTCACTTTTTCCCTTTCTCTTCCCCATCGAATTTTTTTTCTTTTGACGCGTGGCGCGCATGATTCCGTGAATTGGCCAATCACGTCAGGGAACTTTGGCCTTGACATTGGAAACCGACGTGGACACTTCTGTCGCGTGTCTGTTTTTTTTTTTTTCTTTACAGATTTCAGTTTGGTTGTTGTTATTGAGTTTTCCTTCACACTTATTCAAATCACTCAGTTTGGAATTTTTAACAAGTTTTTGGAGTTTTATTCAAACCAAATGTTATGATCATTTTAATTACATAATGTTCTACGGAGCTCGGACTCTAGCCTCTATTTTGGCTTTTGGAGTTTTACGCAAGTTTCGCATCCGATTGGTGGAGAGGGTGGCACGAGACCTCTTGACCAATCGCAGAGTTCAAACCTTTTTTTTTTCTTGTTTTTTTCTTTGCCCCTTAGGCCTTGGGAGAAAGACCGATACATGGCGCCTGACATTGAGGCTGTTTTGAAGCTTGTAAAAGAAGGAAAGGTACATGTAAAAGTTTGTCAAAGTGCTGGTTGAAAATCGGAACATGCTTTAGGATGACTCCTGATTGAATCAACCATGAAAACAGTTAAAGTAACTAGCTTCAACCTCGGACAAAACCTGTTGAGACACATTACAAAAATAGCTATTTTTTGCACTCACCCTGACAAATATGCAAAACCGTCGCAAATTCAAAGATTGTTTCCCCCCCTCCCCTATTGCAATGTTGTTTGCGGTAACACAAGAAATGCATGCTTGAGCTGTTAAGCCCCAACAACATTGTACTAGGGGTGGGGAGGGGGCAAGTTTGTTCCTTTTGGAAACGATTGTTGCGTGGCGGGAAATTAAAAATTGCATTGAAATGTCTAAACAGTTTTGTACGGGGTTGTTGCTTTCTATCACAAATGCTTCAGTCTGATTGGCCTCGCTTCGCTTCCAAACAATTAGAGTATGAGATTTCTGTCAAGTGATTATCGATGAGGGCGAAGCCTGAGTCAACCATAGCCACTAATTTAGTTTTGGAATTTTGGTTGGTTTGTTTTTGGTGGCTTGGTTGGTTTGCTCGTTCGTTTGCTTGTTTGTTTTTTGCTTCAAGAAACGCCATCATTGCCCATGAAAAAGAGATAACCCTCTTGTTTCTCATAGCATCCCCCTACCCATTGTGTTAGTCTTTCAGGGGTATTTTTAAGGGTGTGGCAATGACTAATAGCGCCTGTCTACCATATGGTCAAGGGAACCTCCACTAACCATCTAAGACTGACCTTTCTACTTTTACCCTTGCAGATCTGGCAAGTGGTGTTATCATATATAACGCATTACCAAAGTACCACTGGATGTCAACAGGAAGTCCCAAGTAACAATCTGTCTCCTACTGCAAGGGCTTTTTTGGATGACCCTCCACCACCTAAAGAGATCAAGCTAAATAGGAAATGAATGGAATGCTAAAATGTAGTAGTGTCGTGGACGTTGCATGTAGCGGAAAGTTTTTCTCCAAATGAAAAGCCTTTGCGATCAAATCTGGGATAAGTCAAGCCTGCTGTTTTAGTGTCCCGAATCGCAGGCTACACTTTAAGTGATCGAGCATGTTGAGTAATTTAGAGTGTTCAGTATTCATTTACCGGCGGTAAATATGGCTTTATAGAAAGCATTCACTGAATCAAATTTTAATCAGGAATTTTCATTTATTAACTCAATGCTTGGTTACGAGGTTAAGAGTTTTTTCTCTCAAGGCTCAGAAAAGATTTCCGTATCATAGTGCGGTTGATCTAAAGTACAATTTTGATTGTTAGTGCATTTTAAATCTAAGCTAAGTTAAAATGTAATGCATTCATTTTCCCTGACAGAAGCTCGTTGGCTTGCAAAGGTTTTTTAAAAATGGATTTGCTTTCTTAAATTTTCTTAAAAATCTTTGATAAGGAATTGTTTACATTTGTTAGTAACAGTCTCAGTTCTGGTTTGTTTTTGTTGCTTGTTTGTCTGTTTATTTGTTTAGCTTAGGAACAACTATTCATGCTCGTTATTAATGGTTGACTTAGAAGAACATTATATCGTTCTTGCAAAAGTCGTTAAATTCAGGTATCAATATATATTTTTTTCTTAAACTCGTCCACTGCAGTGTAGAAATTTTAAATGGGTTGTTGATGTTTTCGCACTCCCTTCAATCTGGCACTTCCTTGAGACGATAAACAAAACCAAGCAAACAAAAACGAAAAAAGAAAGAAAAGAAACTTAAACAAGCAAACAACAACAGAGAAAAAATTATCTTTAGATCAAAGTGTCGAGGAAATCCACTTCTGTTGAGATGATTTAATTTGGCTTTATCGACTGAGTCAATAATGTAAATTAGTTATCGTGAAGATTTCCAAAGTTGAGGTTTCGAACGTTAGCTCTTCATTTCTTGCTCTCGCCCTCCCTCTTTCATTTCACTCAGACGAAGGGCTGACGCTCGAAATTTCAGCTTTAAAACTTCTTTACTGTGTCTAATTTACTTCTTCAACTTGGGTTATCATGAAAACCGAATTATCTTGTACTACCCCCAACGACGCAGCACCACCGTTCCTTCAAAAACTTGCCCTTACTTGACTCCACTCTTCGCTAAGATTGTATTGTTTCCACAAATATAAGTTTATCATTCCAGCCCAACTTAGTCCTTTTATTGTACGTGTCACAAGGAGCTGAATTCGAAACGATTTGCTATGTGCATTTACTTCCGAAACTCGCCTAAGGCTCTACGACGTCTGTGGAAGTGCTGTCAGACATGTTAATGGAGAAGGAGTTACGACATAGAGATCATTTAACAAAGAGAAATAGACAGAGGACTTCTTTTTCTCTTTCCAAGGTAATGCTTCCATGTTTAGAACATTTAAGCCAAAGCATGGCTCTGAAGAACATTGTGAAAAGGAAAACAAGCCTCCTACCTTATTTATTTACCTTCTTGTTACATGTTTTGAATCAGTATCAGTATCTAGGCAACTGTGCACCAACCCCTCCTCAATTACCGAACAACAGTCAGCCAACAGCAAGTTAAGGTTAATGTTAGGTTAGGGGAGGGGTGGCTGTGCAATTGCTCAGATACTGAATGAGATACATGTACCTTATTCATGTTCGTACTTGTACAATTTTTACTTTGTTAATTTTTATTGGGGGATCCATGTTACTATCAGAGTCACCTGTCTGCTTTTGTCTATCTTGTTCTGCATTTATGCCACTGATCAACATTTAAACTAGTGTTTATGATAGTATTGCTATAAAGTGTCTTGCTATAGAAATGTAGCTTTACTTGATGTGTAAATTGCCTCAGTTTTGAAAGTTGATCATTACTTCGTGAAGTTATGCATGAAACAAGCATTGTCTACCCAAGAGCTGCTGATTAAATGCTGGCTATTATTGACCAAAGTATTGAAAATAATTATGGGTAACAGAGGGGGAAGATAAATGAAAAAGAACTGTAGAATAACCTATTACAACATATTGGTTGTGCTGATGTTGTTGGCTCTGCATTGGCGTAGAAAATTTGCAAACCTGAGATTCCGTAATAATAGCAGTGGCTCTTTCTGTAGTCTAGTGGAGACAAGTGACCTCTCGCTTTGTGGTCCCACAAGTATTAATGACAAGGCTCTGAACGTACAAACAGTTTGGCTTTTCCCTGCTTTGTTATGAAAGGGGTGGGGGAGGGGGGGGGGAAGAATGAGGAAATAATTTTATCCTTCTCTCCATTCTGCTTAAACAGTTAGTCAAACATTTAATTTATTTCAAACTGTTCTGGTGTGTGTTAAACACTTGCAGTGCAGAAAATGTCTTTTAAACACAAACAGACTCATGAACTATAGAATCATTTTGTGACAATGATATTAAAGGAGTCTGCTTTAAATTTCAACACAGAACTCCTGGGAATTACTGATCACAAGGTGTGATCTTAACTTATTAAAATAATTTTAGCATGATAACATCGAAAGCTCTCCTAATTAATTCATTATCATGAAAACTCTTTAGCTATGAACTGTTTGTATATTTCCTGGAAATTACTCAATTAGCATTATTATGATCATCAAAGTCAGAAACATAAAGCTGCCCCAAAAATCCTAGCAAGTATTATCATCTTATAGAGGACTTACGTAAATTGTGGTCAGGTTGTAGGTAAAGAAAATGGAAGGATTTAGGGAAAAACTCTTCAAGAAGTTCAAAACAGCTATTAGGCCAGTCACTTTAGAGAACAACTGACCAAATCATTTTAAAGCATTCTTAACACATCAGAAGTCTACTGGAAATATGCCTTACACTGAGCCAGTTCAGGCAAGTATGTCAAAGAATTATTATCCCAATATATAGTACGCAATTCACAGAATTCACAACATAGACTTGAGTTTTATCTCTAATAGTTTTAATGCATCCATATAGTATTTTCTTACATTGGTGGGTGGATGGGTAGGTTTTCGGATTATACTATAGTAAATATCATACATAATACATAGCATTACATAATATTCAACATACTTTTTACCATTATTAGATACACCCTTAGTTCTAGTTTGTTTTAACCACTTTGTTATAGTGTTGCCAACGCTTTTTTTGTTTGTATTTTGCTGATTCTTAGGTTTGCTGCCAGTCTTACGGTATTTCTGGAGCAAAACGTTAAGGGATGTTAAATGGTGTTTTGAGGTGAAGCAATGATAATGTAGATTGTTGTCGGCAGAAGTTGTCTGTCAATGACTAGTTTTTTAAACTCCTGTTAAAGACTTAATTTAATTAAGCAATGGTTGAAACAATGGAAAAACATTCCATCAACAAAATTTTACAACAATGTGTTTATATATACTATCGTCCACCTGTCACTGAGATATACAAACTGTTCATCGATAGTCCAAAGAAGCAGTTATATGCGAATATAATATCAATATCACGTATAGACTATGTAATAAGTCTCAAAACTAGAGCAGACACTTTATTCTATGGCAGTAGATGTTTTTAAAACACAATTTGAACTTTACTTTGTAACCACTCTACAACTCTTAAACCTCTACTCTTTAACTCCACCATGTACCAGATCTTAATTTTAACGATGACGATTGCAAAGGTAAGTTATCGGTGAGACTCGAGGTCTATTTATATACTTAAAATACCAACTGAGAGCTGATTGAAATTTAGGTCAACTGAAGTAAGTGACAATTACTGTAAACAAAGCCCGGCACACCATGATACATGTGATCACCTAAAAATTAGAGGGTTATAATTAACACTCCGAAGCCGTTGGTGGACCAACAGCACTAACAGACTTCTGTAAGAGCATTGCCTTTCAGTCTACTTGCTAGAAGAACATTTTCGCACTACATCGATCACTATACTGTTTGAAGTTGCATCCAACATAAATCTACATTAACCTCCACCGCTGCTGCATTTATTTAAACGATCTTAACAGGAATTTGCTTTAGCTAATCAGAACGACCCATACGAGGTGAAGGGAGCGCTTCACGCAGTCTACTATGTGTTGCTTTCCCTCCAGAATTTCTCATCCTTATCAAAAGGCCTTGGAAACAAACCTCAGCCACTCCAGCCTTGTTGTAGTTCTCTTCTAATTGTTCAATGGATACCGATTTCATGCCGAGTTTCCGCAGGAGATTTTTCCAAGAACTTCCTTTTTCTTGGCTGATATCCCAGCATACCTCTTCGGTTACTAAATCGTCTTCACCAACAAGTTGCAAGGAGGAAGAATAACTGCCGCCACTTGAGGTACTTTTATATGCACCAACTGAATCTTAAAAAAGAAATGAAATAAATAAATAAATAAGAGAGGCTTCTAAAATTGTTCTTCTTGTACCTTTTAGGTCAATAAATTTTTCCTGGTTATGACTCGTCGAATAAGACTGCTTTATATTAAGGCTTCCCTTCCATTTCAAGATGCAATTATGTATACTACACGCTCGTTTGATATGTATTATAATTATCTGAGAGTCATTTAATTTTACGATAAAACTTTATAAGTGAATAATTGACTTGGGTTATTATTGGGGGGATAGTTAATTTGAAGATTCACTGTTTTTCCTCATGATGGTAACCATAGCGACGACGACGAAGATAACTGAAGGAGTTTTTGATTTTTCGTCAAAGTTGCCCTTTACAGGCTCCGGTCACTAAAACCACACGAAGCAATTAAAAGTTGAAAAATGGTTCTTACACCAGAGAAATATGTTCATGAATACGGAGTTTAACAATTTCAATATTGAGAGGGACATATAGGTGGTGCAAAAATAAACCGTTTCATATGAAAATTATATTTTGATATATTAGTTGATTACTTTAAACGAAAAGAAAAACCAAAAGTTAAAGACTAGGAACCTGGCTGTACTTTTCAAGGTTAATCAGGGACTTCCACCTTCACGATATTGGACGTGACGGTAATTTTTTCCAATATCTTCACTAGCTTTAGTGACTATTCTATTGATGTGGCTTGAACTGGGGAAAATTATGAAGGAGTATACATTAAAGGTGCTCTTCACTAAGAACATTGGCCTATAACTGGAAGGGCGAATATAAACTAGGGAGCTCATTAATAAGCAAAGACATTTCTTCCGCAAGTACCGGTAAATCGACCTTCAACCGGTTATGGTAAGGTCGATAAGATGTATGTGAATCTACGGGAGATGAAGCAACGTCAGATTTCATTAACTTTGTGTTTTGGGTTTTTTTCTTAAGTTGCTATCTTTGAAAATAGATCATGTCAAGTACAAAGAACATTACCTCCTCAGATTGAAACTCAGGGATCACCTTTATGGTATGCTCTTCAACACGACCTTCTTGTTGAAACCTTAACTGACACTTGAAATAATTTTCCACTCCACCTTCAATTTGTTTTACCAGGGACTCACATGTTCCTTCGCAGCGAAACCTACGACCATTGGCGTTGAGGCAAATGAACTCCTACAACAAATCACAGATTGATTGGTACAAAAAGGTATCAGTCAGGAGTAAAACGTTTCAATGAAAATTCCAAAAAACTAGCGGTTCCTTAAATCGCATCGTTAAGACAACTACTTTCAGAGGCCATCAGAAGACCCCATAATCTATAACCCAAAAGTTTATCATCATGTAGAGCAACTAGTTTAAAAAGAATAAAGGCTGATAGTTTCGAAAGAAACTGTTTGGGGCTGCGTCGGTGGGGGTAACGAAATAATTTGGATATATCAACAAAGTTGAAATTATAGTAAATTGGCCACCGTAACGATTACAAAAGCTGACGTTTCGAGCGTTAGCCCTTCGTCGAAGCGAATAGAGGAATTGTGGGTTGTGTGTGCTTTTAAAGGCAGAAAATGGAGCTACGTTATTGGTGGGAACATGGCAACGAGAAAAACAAGAATAGATTAGTGGAATAAAAAGCGTTCGTTGATCCCTGTGGGATTTAGGCTGCCGCTTTGAAAGATTAGCTTTTGTTCAAGATTTTTACAGCTTTCTGTGCTACCTAAGTGTAAGGAAAGACCGCAGATTGCCATATGTTGCTTAGAATGATTAGGTAAATTAAAATGTCTAGCGACTGGTTTCGATGTGTCCTTGTCATTCCTTTCCACGTCTCGAAGGTGTTCTCGGAATCGGTCACCTAGTCTTCTGCCTGTTTCGCCGATGTATATCTTTTTGCAATAAGTGCAAGTTATGCAGTAGATTACATTGGCGGAGGTGCACGTGAAGTGATCGGAGATCTTAATGGATCGTTTAGGTCCCGATATTTTATCAGTGTTGTGCATGAAGGGACACGTTTTGCATCGTGCACAAGCGCATTTAAAAGTGCCTGGTTAGTCATTAGTCTGAAAAGAACTTCTGACCAAAACATTGCCTATGTTTTTGTTAATACCCAAAAATGTCAGAATCTGTTTACTCAGCAAAACCCGCATGGCTCTTATAAGAAGAGTCATTCTGGATAATGAAACAATGTTGTAGCAAAGTATCTCTGTAACGATAAAATAAATGTTTTCTTTACATCTGATACTTCAATAAAACATGTAAAAAACAATACAGTTTCCCCACTGTATTCATGGCTCCCAGTCATGTTTCAGAGCAAGTTTAAAAAAATGTACTCCTGGGTGTAAAACTTCTAAACTGTACAATTAAGTACATTGTTCAGTACACAGTGTATTGTACAGTTTAATTATTTAATGGAATTTTCATTTAAGATATTTTAAGAACCTGTTTTGCTTAAGTTATCGGTAAATACCCCCAAACATAAGAACCTATTTTGCCAGACATGAAAAAAACACCAGGTTCTTACACGCGGGCTTTTACTGTATTTGCAATGTTTGATATTAGAGGAAAATATTCTTCCGACACCAACAGAAATTGGAAAAAGAAGCCTAGAAGAAGCAAAAAGGAATTTGGCTCTCTTTTGTCGACTGTTGACATTTGGGTAGTGTTTT